GGACTTTCTTATATATTGTCTTTGTACTGTACACTACAACAGAACGTTAATGAAAGTGAACTTCAATATGCAAACAATATAATCTAAGTAAAGTAATCAACACTTAGTTATACTGTACTTCAGATTATGCCATGACCTCTACATGACCAGGACAAGGCCTAGCTTTTTTTATTTCCTAACTCTTTCAAATGTTTTCTAACAAACAATAATTCAACTTTTGTGTAATTATCAGAGTTGGGTAACCCCACTTTTTTGCAAACCCAAGTTTTTGCAAACTTCATCTGTGGTTTCTTGGTTTAGCAAATCCAATAACCAAGTTGGTTTGGATCTGGGTTCCATTTTATCTCAACCCCCAAAAATCAGAGGGATTGAGATGAATGATTCTAATTTCCCATATCTCAGAAGAATGAGCTGCAAAACACCCATAAAGCTTGTTACAAATAAAATTTTATTCACAGGTATATAGGTGCCACTTTATTCTGCTCTGAGTTCCCATCTCCTCCAGATGCCTGTATGTTCTCCCACAGCATTTGTACTCTTTATGTAGGAAACATTTAGAAAGAACTCAATCCTGAAAGTGTGTGTTTTTTTTTAACAGAGTTCTAGGAATACTGTGCTTCTTTTATTCAAATTTCTGAATTACTAACCTGTATTTTCAGGCTTCAAAGCAAGAAAAAGTTTTTCAATTACATCTGACCAGTCTTTGAAAACTCTCTCTCCAAATTCACACAGCTCTCTCGCACATCTGACAGGTAGTCCTTTGAACTCTTTTAATCTTAATTCTTCATAGTCACGGTCACATGCCTGCTAGAAAAATATTCTTCCCTCTTCTCCATCTGCAGCATTCAAAAGTTTGTCATCAGTGTAGCAATAAACTCTGAAGTAAAAATATTGATATTGCAAATCTTTCAGAAAAACTGCATGGATTATTTCCATCTCAGGCTGTAGTGTTGGTTTCCTTCATCAAGAACCCAAGGATAACCATTCTTTGCTGCAAAATAGTGTTTTCTATTTTGGATAAACTTTGAATGTCCGGTGAACAAGGAGGTAAGGACAATGAGTTTTCAGGATGAAATACGCCACGTCTGGCCCAGCATGCAAAGAAAGAAGAGTGATGAGCTTGTTATGTAGTCCAGACAAAGCTTTAGCTGTAGACTGGAATGTTGTTTGTGAAGTCTTGAGCAGGATGGATTTTGTACCTCTTCTGTTGACCATCTCAGATCAATCGCTTTGAAATATGTCATTTGTAAAGTGCAGAGTTTATTAAGTCAAGGGAAAATGTTGTTTGCCAAGTAATCTCTTTCTTCTTGGAAGTCCTTTAACGTTGAACATGTATAAGGCTGAATTGATGACCAGTGTGTGAAATGAAAACAGTGGTCTTCTCTTTTTTTCGCTTAAGCACGCTGGAGTATGGGACATTTCCAACGTCTTATTCATACGCAAAAAAGAACTTCAGGTACATTGTAGTTCTACACTTTTCAACTTCCAGTGCTTCTAAAATATTAAACCAGGGAACCATGGAGACACTTAGGCTGCCAGCCTTTCTTTGCTCTGAGTCAGTACTGAGCTAGTATCCCACCATGGGTTTAGGGGACACTCTACTGCAGGCAGATCCAACTTTCAGGTTACGCATATATGGGACAACTTTGGGACAACTGCATGTGCATTTTTCCTTCATGGTCCAGCAAGGGCACCCGCTCTAGGCTTCCCCAGCTGTCACCCCAGCTCTCCTGTGTAAAGACACATGTTTCTCTTCCTTGTCCAGATTGGAATATTTCCAGGCTGCATAGTTCCCAGACTACACTTTGATACCCCCAGCAAAAGACAGACTGCCAGAGCTGTAACTAGACATTTTAACACCCCGGGATGAGCAAGCATATTTGCTCCCCCCGCTGGGTTTTTTTCAGCAATTCTTTACCCCATTTTTCCACCCCTGTGGCTTTGTGCCCTGGGCATCTGCCCCACTCACCCCACCCTGCAGCCTGCCTAACCAGGCCTGCTTCCCTTCTCTCAGAGAATGTATTGCCAGTTAAGCTATCCCACAGCTCTTTCTAAGCAACTATATTTATTCTCAAGGTAAAAGCATGACAGAGAAAACACATTAAAACAATAAAAGAACCTACATGCATGCTAATAAGATTACCAGCAATAACCCCACCTCCAAAAAGGGTTCCGGATGGTGTACAATCCTTCAAACCTCACCCGAGGATTTTTTTGTGGTCATACATTCATAACAGCTTTCACTCAGATCAATAATACAGACTGGGCCAAGTCCTTCCAACCCATTTGGCCCCATGTCCACAGATGGTGCTGTCCATTTCTTGGATCAGTAAGTAAATCCTGAGCCAGTTTTTAACTCAGACCATTTATAGACTCATAGACTTTACGGTCAGAAGGGACCATTATGATCATCTAGTCTGACCTCCCGCATGATGCAGGCCACAAAGCCGTCCCAACCCTTACCCTTGACTCTGCTGTTGAAGTCCCCAAATCCTGTGGTTTAGAGATTTCAATTAGCAGAGAATCCTCCAGCTAGCGATCCCCGCCCCATGCTGCGGAGGAAGGCGAAAAACCTCCAGGGCCTTTGCCAATCTACCCTGGAGGAAAATTCCTTCCCGACCCCAAATATGGCGATCAGTAGAACCCCGAGCATGTAGGCAAGATTCTCCAGCCAGACTCTCATTGGCCATTATACTATTTACCAGCGATGGCACGCTGTTCCTTTGACGAAACTCACGTTATCCCATTAAACCATTCCCTCCATAAACTTATCTAGCTTAATCTTAAACCAGACAGGTCCTTTGCCCCCACCGTTTCCCTCGGCAGGCTGTTCCAGTATTTCACCCCTCTGACGGTCAGAAACCTTCGTCTAATTTCAAGCCTAAACTTCCCCACGGCCAGTTTATATCCATTCGTTCTCGTGTCCACATTAGTACTGAGCTGGAATAATTCCTCTCCCTCCCTAATATTTACTCCTCTGATATATTTAAAGAGCGCAATCATATCCCCCCTCAGCCTTCGTTTGGTCAGGCTAAACAATCCGAGCTCCTCGAGTCTCCTTAACCAAGAGTCCTCTCTTTATGTGTTAGTTCCTGAATAAACTACTATGAACCAATATATGCAAGCCTCTGTCCAGGTGGTGGTAGCTCCTATAAGATTTTACAACCTGAGTAAATTTGCCTAACCACCCCCCACCCCCACTGTTCTTAGTTCCTGGAGATCTATGGTCCCCTCTCCCATTTTTTATTTTTAATACAATGAACTCCTAAAACACTTGAACTTAATTCAAAAAAATTTGTACAAAATATTGCATGATATTGTCCTATCTGTCAGTCATTAAAGATCCTCTGACACTTTTAACACATTAACCACTATGTTATGACTAATTGCAATTTGTGTGTACTCTGCCCCCCAAAACACCCTGCAGTTTCTGTTAGTGACAGTGCTGTAGGATTGCCAACCCTCCCGCTTTCGCCAGGAGTCTCCTGGAATCGGGCTCTATCTCCCGGAGGCTACTTCAGCCAAACCGGGAGATTTGGGGCGCTAGCGGTCCAGCGTGGCAATGGAGCTAAGGCAGGCTCTCTTACCTGCAACGGCTCCGCTCCCAGAAGCAGCCAGCACCATCCTGGCCAGAGCTTGCACCCCCTCCCACACCTCAACCTCCTGCCCCAGCCCAGAACCTGCACCCAAACTCCTTCCCAGAGCCTGCACCACCTCCCGTACCCCAACCCTCTGGCCCAGCCTGATGAAAGTGAGTGAGGGTGGAAGAGAGCAAGTGATGGAGGGAGGGGGGATGGAGTGACTGGGGGCGTGGCCTCAGAGAAGGGGCAGGACAGGGGCTTGGCCTTGGGGGACGGGCGGGGCAAGTGTCTTTGGGTTTGTGCAATTAGACAGCTGACAACCCTACAGTGTTGTCTAGCACTTTTCGGCCCAGAGCAGGATTAAAGTGGGGAGGGGGTGTACAGGGTTCACACGCATTCAAGCTTATGCGAGACTCCTACTATGATGATGACTCCTGTCACATGCAGCTAGGGTGACCAGATGTCCCGATTTTATAGGGACAGTCCTGATTTTGGGGTCTTTTTCTTATATAGGCTTCTATTACCCCCCACCCCCTGTCCTGATTTTTCACACCTGCTGTCTGGTCACCCTACATGGAGCCAGCTGCTACACCGAGTGCACAGGTAGAGCGGGCCACCCTCCAGGTGTCCTGGAGTCTCTAGAAATTAAACATTAAAGTTTATGTCATATGATGAAACCTCCACGAATATGTCCCACCAAAATTGGTAACCCTAGACACATAGGGTGCAAAAGGCAGGGGCTGCGGCGGTGGTGGCTGCAGGAACGTCACTGCTTTGGGATGGCAGATGTCAGGAGCACATTTTCAAAGGGATCTTGGAGCCCAATGATGCAGCTGGTGCCTAGGGACACTTTTACCATCTTTAGGTGCCTAAATACCTTTAAAAATCTGGCCCTAAACTACTGCAGAGGTTGGGGGCGTGGCCACTATGACCCAGCCAGAGCAACCAGCGCTGCGGGTCGGCCCTCGCCTCCAGCCACGTACCAGAGTCAACGACAAGGCAGAGGCTACAGCTACCAGCAAGCAAGGGGCGTGGTGCCGGCCCATGGGGAAGACACGCAGGCACTATGACGTAGAACTACAACTCCCCGCATGCAAAGCACCTCCCAGCATGCAGCGCGCCCTCAGCTCACCGAAAACGTAAGACCTACGATTCCCCTCATCCAATGCGGCGCCAGTACGCAAGTCCCGGCACGCAATACCGCGGAGCGCTGCATGCTGGGAGTTGTGGTCTAAGAGGTATGGGGGAGCCCGCTCCCCAGCCCACATTCCCTATGGCGGGAGCACCTTCCCTTGCCCTGCCCTCATCCAGCGGCAGCGCTGTTTGCCAGCAGCCCCGCGCGATTCCGGAGATCGGATTGGCCTCCGTCACTCACTTCTCACCCATCCACTTCACAACCCGCCTCCGCAGAGGTTGTACCTGCCGGAAGTAAACGTTGCCGTAGTAACTGTCTCTGGGCAAACATTCTGGGCGCCCCGGAAATGGTTTGGATTGATCCGGCCATGTGGAGACTTTTATCGCTTTAGACACGGATCTCATTCGTGGGTGAATCACATGGCCGCGGAGTCAAACATTTCCGAGTACTTAATTTAAATAAAAAAATAAAAGCAGGCAGATTAAACTAGCTATTAAAAATGATTGGCCGACTCTTCCTACCAATGACCAATCAGAGGCAGCCACGCTCTGGCCGCAGGAAGCCGCACATGGAAGGCTCTGATTGGCAAGGACCGGACTCCGCCCCACCCCTCGGGGCTCCTCATTGGCTCTGTGTTTGGCGTGGTGCGCTCTGATTGGTGGCTTGCTGAGCGCCTTTCCCCGCCCCGCGTGCCGGACAGTGATAAGGCTGGGGGGAGGCGGGCTTACCTGGCTGGTGGTTTGGGCGATTCAGCGATAGCGCCGTTCGGCTGAGCTCGAGTCGCGGGGCAGGGGCTCGTTTGTTCTCTCCTGGGTCCGCACTGACACCGCCATGAAGCCGCTGTGGGGACTCGCTCTTCTGTGTGTCCTGGTGCTAGCCTGTGAGTCGCCCGCCCGCGGGTTCTAGAAGCTTCTGGCGAGGAGCGGTTGGGGCAGGTGGCCTGGGCCTGCGCGGCCTCCGCCCGGTGAATGAGAGGGAGGGGCCGGGCCCCTCGGGAGTAGGGGCGCGGGGCTGTTTGAGCCCGAGGAAGGGGATCTGCTCCGGGGCGAGCGGGGAGAACCGCTCGGAGTCTGGCTCCGGTTCCGCCTCCCCGGAGGCTGGCGGGGTCCGCGCTGGCTCTTCCCCTCAGGGGCCGGGGCCTGATTCTCGAGGCGCTGCCTCGCGCTGCGCCCCGTGGTGGGGGCGGGGCCGCCTCCCGCAGCGGCGTTATGGGGGGGCGGGGGGGATGGTTCCCCTTCCAGGGCGCGCTGGCCGGAGCTCCCTGCACTGCCCGACCCGTCATGGCGCTGGGGCTGCAGCTTGGAAACCTTCCCTCCTCCCTCCCCGTGTCGCCCGCGGCGGGGTCCTGACAGGCGCCTCCTTCGCAGTGCAGGGCGCGGAAGGCCCCCCGGAAGGGGGGCGGCGGCTCCGCGCGGTGGGGCAGTTCTCTAACGCCCCCTGCCTTCTCCCCCAGCATCGGCTAGAGCGGAGGAGCTGGACGTGGATGGTACAGTAGAAGATGACCTGGGTAAAAGCCGAGAGGGCTCTCGGACCGATGACGAAGTTGTTCAGAGGTTTGTACCTATAATGCTGGAAAGAGCTGTGAGCTCCACGTGCTGGTGACTGCCTCCTCCTCCTCGCTGGCCAAGGCGTCAGTATTGTGATGGGGGAGCGGTTTGTGTTTCTAATGTAGAGTCTTTCAGGGCAGTGGTTCTCAACCAGGGGTACATGTACCCTTGGGGGTAAACAGAGGTACAGGGGGTACATCGAATCATCTTGCTATTTGCCCAGTTTTACAACAGGCTACATAAAAAGCCCCAGCAAAGTCCATACAAACTAAAATTTCATACCATGACTCTAGATACTATACACTGAAATGCAAGTACAATATTTATATTCAATTGATTTATTTTATAATTATATGGTAAGTGAGCAATTTTTCAGTAATAGTGGCTGTGACACTTTTGTCTTACAAAAATCAGACATTGAAAGCAATTAATTTTTAAATGAGGTGAAAGCTGGAGGAATGCAAGACAAATCAGACTCCTGAAAGGGCTACAGTAGTCTGGAAAGGTAGAGAGCCGCTGTTTCAGGGAAACGAGCTCTGGACTCTTCAGTCCCTTTACTTTTTTAAAAAAGCAAATTGCCCATGTTTGTGGTTTTATATTAAGTCCTCTTAAAAGCAGATAAATGGTAAGTAAAACATAATATCTGAGTGAAATGGTAGCCAGATTGCTTTGTTACATGTTTGAAGTCACACAGATTGGTATCTGTCATTTACTTCCTTTAGTACCAGTCAGCTTCCTTCTTTTTGCTGATACTCCATAGGGCAGGGATTCTCAAACTGAGGGTCGGGACCCCACAGGTGGTCATGAGGTTATTACATGGGGGTCACGAGCTGTCAGCCTCCACCCCAAACACCGCTTTGCCTCCACCATTTATAATGGTGTAAAATATACAAACAAGTGTTTTTAATTTATTGGGGGGGGGGGGAGTCGCACTTGCAGTGTGAAAGGGGTCAGTACAAGTACACTGGCTTGTGGCAAACACATGCAGTACACTTGAAATAACCTCTCAGTTGTATGCCTTCCCTTCTGTAGCATAGAGGTTATTGTCTATTGTAACTTCAGAGTGGGGCCTTTAGACCGGGGACTGTGGTAGGATTTTTGCTGAATAGTAGAGAGGTCCAGCTTTTAAAACATCTAGTGCACTCACCTGTTATCAGACTTTCCCAGTAGTTTTCACACTTAGTGTTCCATAGTCAAAATCGAATCTTGCAGTTCTAAACTGTCATCCTGATGTCATGGTTTGTGGAATGTCATAGTATCCCAAGATCTATCTGTTGCTATAACCACAAATTCACTTGTTCCTGTCACTGGACTAACTGCATATTAACTGAATAAGGCCTAATAAAAGATCTAACTTTGTCTCCACAGAGAGGAGGAAGCTATTCAATTAGATGGCTTAAATGCGTCCCAGATAAAAGAAATCAGAGAAAAATCTGAGAAGTTTGCATTCCAAGCTGAAGTTAACAGAATGATGAAACTCATTATCAATTCTTTATACAAAAACAAGGAGGTAAGCAGTATGTTTATCTAGACAATGTCAGCATGTATAGTTCTAGCATAAAGTTTATCATCCCAATACATTTCATTTCAGATTTTCCTGAGAGAATTGATTTCAAATGCTTCTGATGCTCTAGATAAGATAAGGCTATTATCACTGACTGATGAAAATGCCCTTGCTGGTAATGAAGAACTCACTATTAAAATAAAGGTAAGAGCTGCTAGCTACTAACAGTAATCTGTTGATTCTTCCACCCACCCCACGCCCCTCCATTGGAAAATACTTCTTCACTTCTCCTTGCCCAAGCCTCAAATTTGTATTTAACATTCTGCCTATCCCAGTCTGTAAACTTAGACTAAAACCTTGGTACCCTACTGTTAGTTTGACCATAAAATCCTCAAATGCCTTGTCTTAGTGTTATAGCAAGCATTTATGGCTGCCTCTGAAGTGTTCCACTTTCAGTGGAGAGTGGCTGAACCACTGGATTGCTTCAGCAAGAGTGTCTTCCCTTATTGCTTTAATGTGAATCCATACTCTAGCCAGATTTTTGCATAGCAGACTTTCTTCATGAAGAATCTTCAGTTACTGTAACATCTCACCTGTAACTTTCAACTTTAACAAGATGCAATGCATGCTGTCTTCAAGTGACATTTAACTGAATTTACCTCATTCATTTTCTAGTGCGATAAAGAGAAGAACATGCTTCATGTTACAGACACCGGTATTGGCATGACCAAGGAAGAATTAATTAAAAACTTGGGTACCATTGCCAAGTCTGGTACAAGTGAATTCTTAAACAAGATTACTGAAATGCCAGAAGATAGTCAGTCAACATCTGAGTTGATTGGCCAGTTTGGTGTTGGCTTCTATTCTGCCTTCCTTGTAGCAGACAGAGTTATTGTTACATCAAAGCACAACAATGATACTCAACACATTTGGGAATCTGATTCAAATGAATTCTCAGTGATTGATGACCCCAGAGGAAACTCCTTAGGTAGAGGCACCACCATAACGTAAGTATTGCAGCTGATCCCCCAAAAAAGCTTATTAAACTGTTGATGTATACATTGCTCATTAGCATGTTATCTGTTCTCTGCATTATGAATAGGGCCCTACCAAATTCATGGTCCATTTTGGTCAATTTCAGTCATAGGATTTTAAAAATCATACATTTTATGATTTCAGCTATTTAAATCTGAAATGTCATTGTTGTAATTGTAGGGCTCCTGATTCAACAAGGAGTTGGTGGGGGGGGGGGGTTGCAAAGTCCCTGTAGGAGGGTAGCAGTACCAGAGCTGGGCAGCTGGAGAGCAGCAGCTGCTGGCCAGGAGCCCAGCTCTGAAGGCAGAGCAGAAGTAAGGGTGGCAATACCATGATTCCCCTTGCTAAAATAACCTTGCAACTCCTTGTTGAGAAACTTGGGTCTCCACTATGCTGATTTCACAGGGTATATAGGGTAAAAGCACACAAGAGCAGATTTCATGGCCATGAATGTGGTAGGACACTAACTATGAATCCTGTGCATGCAACTCTTCATTTATAGTGTCCTTAACCTGGAATAAGTGCTTTTCCTGAATAGGAATGACTTCCTGAATCAAAGCCGTGGTATAGGGACTTGAAAATAACTACTGACTAAAGGTGTTCAGGTTTTTTGCCAATTTTTCACTTTCTTGCATAGCTTATGGATGTGACAAGATATTAACAAGTATGCTTGATTTCTAGTTTTACGAAGTTGGAATTTTTTTAGTTCAGCTACATTACCTGAAAAAGTACATACTTCAGTACTCTAGCTAAACTGCTAGTGTTTTTTTTTTCTTAAGTGGACTTAATAATGGAGGAGAGTGGCCTGGAAGAAACAAATGAACTGCCTGCAAACTTAAATACTTTAATAGCTGCAGTCAATTTCTGGGGACACATTGACAAAACTTTGTTAAGCTCTAATATAGGTTATTCTCTACACTGTGCATTAACAAATGATCCCTTCAGAGCTGATCTCTGAACTCGTACTGCTGTGACATAACTGGCTACTGTGTTGGCTGTCCTTTCTGCTAATGCAGTTGGCTTGCTTTTCCTATCTGAGACTTATCAAATTTGAGTAGCAAGGACCACAAAGAGAAACATGCCATTCTCAGTTTTTTCAAACTTTCCATTAACTTCAAGTGCTGTAGACAAGTTAAATCTTAAATTTGTCTGCTACTGACTTATAAAAATTGAAACTGCATGATTAATGTCTCTACCTTTTTGCTGTTCACTTAGTACATTTCAGATTTCACTAAGAAACACCTTTCTAGTCCTGATGGCTTGAGTTGCATGTACTGCTAGGAAGACTTTCCACAACTTAATGTGATGGAAAAAAATGAAACCAGTGCTAAATATAGTAGTTACTCTTAAATGAGGCCAAACTACCTGACAATAAAAATCCCTCTGAGCAGCCAATTTCAGTTATGCTCTGGGACTGGCTTGGTGTCTAGTAAATGATGTAGAATTGGTTTCAAACAATGATTTAGATTGTGCTAATCTGATTTGTCTTTAAGTGCAGTTTTCTAAACCTGTTCTGGTCTGCTTTGGGCTTCCA